GAGAGAGAGAGAGAGAGAGAGAGAGAGAGAGAGAGAGAGAGAGAGAACAAAGAGGAACAGAGAGAGAGAGAGAGAGAGAGAGAGAGAGAGAGAGAGAGAGAGAGAGAGAGAGAGAGAGAGAGAGAGAGAGAAGGAAAGCATAGTGGAATTGGGAGGGACCAATCTCACCATAAGAGCAGCCAAGTTGTCCTTGTGCTTTTCTGCCATATCCTTCAGCTCCTTCATGTTCACATTTCCCTCTGCGTCAGTTCCAACAGCAACAATCTTCATGCCGCACATTGCAGCGCTAGCAGGGTTCGTACCATGAGCAGACACTGGAATGATACACACATCACGATGTGTGTCTCCTCGAGACTGGTAATATCCCAATCAATACAAATTCAACCAACCAACCATTCAACCAATCAAGTAATTAGTCAGCCAAACTACTAAGTTAACCGGCTGGCCCTACTCATCAATCAATCCAGGAAACGCTGAACAAACCAACCAACCAATCAATCAATCCACTGAAATGGGCAGGTGCTTCCACTATTCAGTAACTTCATTGTGTATGGTAAATACTAAATAACAAAAAGTTAACCAGTTTCAAACAAAGCTCGCTTCTTCAGGATGCAGAAAGCTTTTGTGCGGTTGTGCTAACTGTTAGGCTCCAGTGAGGCCAAATGATGTAGTTGGTGCTGTGGGCGTGCATTCACCTCCAGCCTTGTGAAAGAGAAAAGACCAAAAGGGAGGAGACTTTGGGTGGTGCCGCTGCATATATTATGACGATACATATATACGTGTATATATACCTTCCTTGTAAACCGTAGGCAGAGAGGGAGGGAGAAGAGGACAACAAACGACGGGCTGTGACAAACTGTTTTGTCGAAGATTCTCCAACTCGTCAGGAGGCTCAAGTCCACAAATTGCTTCGTGTGTGTGTGTGTGTGTGTGAGAGAGAGAGAGAGAGAGAGAGAGAGAGAGAGAGAGAGAGAGAGAGAGAGAGAGATTGTGTTTTTTTTTTGAAATCTTCAGCTGTGTGATCACCATGTGGTGAGCGTTGATTGAAACTGCAGTCCGGAAAAGTCGGTGGGTTGGTCACATATCTTTAGCTGTCTAAGCCCATATTGCGTCTTATGAACGGCCAAGGAGAAACTGAGTACATGTTGAGAGGGAAATGAGTGCTGGAGGAAAAAAAGTCTAATTAGAGTATCCCCTTGGAAGTGCCCCTGATGAAGTGGACGGAAGGTTAGATTTCATAGATACCAAGGCAGGCAATGATGATGATGTCAACGAATGTTGGTTCCTATCAGAGGAACAAAACCATCAACAGTAGTGGCTGTTACGGCCCCAAGTAGACTGCCATGGAATCAACCATAGATTGCTCCATGGGAAACACACAGGAACACAATATTTATGCACAATACATTGATCAATCTTTACTCTTGTGACTGCCATGGAATCTTCTACACTTGGTCCTCCCCCCCCCTTCTCTCTCTCTCTGTGTATGTGTGGAGGTCATGGAATCTGTACTACCCTTGGTTACGCCGTCTCCCTCCCTCCCTCTCTCTCTCTCTCTCTCTCTCTCTCTCTCTCTCTCTCTCTCTCTCTCTCTCTCTCTGAATGTTATGGAATCTGTACTACCCTCTCTCTCTCTCTCAGTCTGGAGGTCATGGTATCTGTACTACCCTCTCTCTCTCTCTCTCTCTCTCTCTCTCTCTCTCTCTCTCTCTCTCTCTCGTTTCAGACAGTTGCACTTGTGTGCCCTTTCTGCATCTATCCGTGAATTGAGTAATAAATCCAGAAAGGACACCCACGTGCAACCATCTAAATGGTTTTCTCCCCGCGCCCCTCCCCCCCCTCTCCCTCCCCTCCCCCTTCCTTTCAGGAGCATATTTGACCATTACTGGATTGACACAGGTCAGAAACAGAATTCAATAGTGTGGACTTTTCATATCCTTTTGACTATTTGATCTCTAGCATTTGAGGGTACGAAGAAACGATTGCCTTTTTGTCCATCCCCGACTTCACAGTGTTCACCTGATTGAAGCCGAGCGCTCCAACAACTTGTGTCCTGATTAATACACCACCAGTTGGTTTCCACACCAGTCTATATGTCGAAGCCGCACCCAGTCTACATGTCCTGAAGGTAACCTTTTATGAAGGCCAGTTTCATGCTTCAGGTGGAGAGGTATCCTAGGGGGAAGGCCTTCGGAACAAACAAATGTAGGCTGGGCCTTGCAGGTGTTATGTTCATGTAGAAAAAAAGTTGAACCTGGACATCATCAAGGCCAGGTTGATGCTTTCCCAGGTGGTATGTTCATGTAAAACAAAGCATTAACCTGGTCTGAACCTGAAAACCATGAAGGCCAGGTTCATGCCTGGGAGTGTACCACCATCAGGGCACTGCTTTTGAATATCACATCGGTTTTTATGTGTGTGGATATGCTAGATTTCCACGGTCAGCACCACTGAGCATTTCTTTTTTTCGATGTCCGATTCCGCAGCACACCCCTGCCTGCCCCCACTGAAATTTATCGCCACCATTGGGGTCACCAGCCCCTGATGAATGCGGTACAGACTATGTTCCAAGAGCGCGAAATAGAGGCCATACTCACAGTTTCACTACTCCAATAAATGCCCAGACCTGGATGCATGTGACGGCAGTCACGTGCGGAGCAGAGCCGAAAACGTCCTGGAGGGAGTATGATCTGAACTAAGTTCAACTAACATCAGTTTATTCTGCCACTGACTGCTACCGTCTTCCCCTGAGCACACGGTGCTTATTGCTTGCCCCAAATACAGCCATCGTGGCCGCATGCTCTGTTGAAGCAGATGGTAGCTGTCCATGGGGAAAGCGTTGTTGTTTCTTGTTTTTTGTTTGTGGTTTTAATTGCTAATTACACAAGTGGTTAACGGGGACCCCCACTTTCAGCTCCTGACTTGAACGGATCAAAAACTGAAATTAGGGTTTGGGGGTCCAATTTTATGTTATCTTGTCTTTTAAACTGTTTTTGTCTTTTTTTTTGTTTTGGTTCAAGGTTCCTCTCATGAGATTTCTGAAATTTCATTGGTATCAATTGGGTCAACATTGGAATTTCCTCTGATGAGATTTTTGAAATTTCTCAAGATTTCTGAAATTGGAATGTTGGCAAAATTTCATGAAAGTGCACTTTTGCCTTGCTGTTTTATAGGTTTTTATTAAAATTTTAAACTGTTTTTTTTTTTGTTTTTTTGTTTTTTGTTTTTGTTTTTTTGTGAAGTAGTTAGTATGATCTCCACTCTATGAATTGGTGGCAAGTTTGGTTAAAATGACCCCCTTGGATTTTTTTATTTTTTTTTTGCTATAAATGGCATGACAAGCTGTCTGAAAATTGAGGCCTTCGTCAACCACCCCCTCACTAATATAATATTAATATTACAAAACTTGAGTCCCTCAAAAATTTCAGGTCAGTAGGTGCCAAAATTATTCTTTTGGGGATATCGCCATACTTCACTGATTTTGGAGAATAATTTCTCCGAAGTAAGTTCAG